TCCTAAAGATCACCCAGGGATGGGCAGGGTATCCCAGCCTCCTAAAGATCACCCAGGGATGGGCAGGGTATCCCAAGCTCCCAAAGATCACCCAGGGATGGGCAGGGTATCCCAGCCTCCTCTCCTGGTCTTGGACACTTCCAGGGATGGGGCAGCCACAGCTGTACCAGGGCCTCACCACCCTCACAGGGGAGAATTTCCCAAAAGAGAAAAGAAAAAAACCTCCTCAATCCCTCCAAATCAGCCCCTTACAGTGAAGTAGAACTGCTCAGTCTCCTGCTGGTTTGCCCTTCTCTTGGCAATGCTGGGTTTGCTCATGAACGTTTCCGACACCGTGGATTTCACAGACTCCATGGAGTTGCTGTACTGGAAGCAGTCAGAGACATCGAAGTCCTCGATGGTGACAATGTCCTGGATTGTCTGCAGCGTGGCCTCCATCGTCTTCTTAACCTGCCCAGCAAGAAGGAGAGAGCTCAAAACCTCAAGGTTTTATGTTGTGAGTAAACAACAGAGGCGGTGAAGTCCCCTGGAGCACTTTGCTAATAAACAGATATTACTGGTTTCACACCCTGGGTGCTGTAATTAATTCTGGCTCATTAACAGCACAGGCCACGCAAGCACAGAGCTGGCAGCACCCTGAACCTGCCAGGACTCTGTGCCAGGATCTCAGTTGTGATCTCAGGGGCTGGGATCAGGAGGAGATGGAAAGAAATTTAACCTCAAAGCAAAGAAAGCTGGAACCGAGATTCTCTAATTGTCTTCTGAAACTGCATCTACTGGGCATTAAACATTAATTACAAACAGGACTCTGCTGCACTGTGCATTTTCACTGAAGGCAAGAATCAACTTTCTAGACATAAAAGGGGTTGCAAATTTTGCTTCAAAGTTCCTGAACACAGAGGTGCAGAGATCAGATCCCCACTCCTGTCATTTTCCTCTCATCTTGGATAGCCACTTAAACAAAAATCACTTTAAATCAGGTTATGCAAACTCACTTCAAAACATTAAATTCCTCCTTTTCCCTTTGCTATCCAAATTCAACGTTGGCAACACAGCCAGTCTTATCAGGGTAGGGATGTGTGGGAATCCAGGGCTTCCCTCTGGCTGCCCTGGGACCCTGGCAGGGGTCAGGAACCCCCCTGGAAAGAGCCCCCAGAGACACTGGCTGTGATCTCTGGCCATGGAAAAGAGTTTTCAATCTTACAGGATCAATTACAAGCTCTGAGTGTTTGATATAAGTCATAATCAAGTGTGGCACGGGTGCAAAAGTAAAATTTTAGGATTCTAGATAAGGGGTCCAAAGGGGACAAGATGGAGGAAATTGGGTGTGCCTTGTCCTTTTTCTCCTTCTTCATGCCCTCCATGTTTCACTGTGGTGTTGGCATTTTTCTATTAGTTTAGGCTAGAGACACACTGTTCAACATAAATGATAGATATTAGCACATTATTATAAATATAACACACGTAGTTTCTAATATATAACGTTTATAGCATCCCACTAAGGGGCAGAGCCCCACACACTGCCCTGCAGGACAGACCTGCGGCGAGACAACAAAACATGGCAAAAATAAACAACCTTAAAAACCAACACAGACAAATTGTAACTTCTTCTTTAACCATAAGGCAAAAAAACAAACACTTTCTACAATCTCAGAATCATCAATACCACCAATTCCAACAGGGATGGGAAGAGAGATGTGGGGGGTGTTTTAAAGGATTCTCTCCACACACCCAACTTTCCTGTGAGATCACACTACAATGAATGCACAAGATGCTTTGGCTTTGAATTTTACCACAAGTGTTAATAGAAAAGGATCACAACCACCAGATTCTTCCATCATCAGCGCCCAAAAAGCACTGGAAGTGGCTAAGAGGGGGCTGCTGAGTTTTGGTTATTAACTGACCTCTTCATTTTCAATCTTCAGCGTGGACAAGCGGGACTGCAGCTGCTGACACCTCTGCACCAACTCACTCTGGACTGGCTGCTGGGCACAGAGCTGAGACTCCTGCAGGAGGAACAGCACAGCAGAGCATTGCAATTACTCATTTATTTGTCAGACACAAACATTCTCTAGAGTGCTGAAGTTTAAAGCTGCATCCAGTTTGAAAAGCCAGGTTGAAACCTGGATTTCGAGCAGAGGAGAAGGTTCTGCTGCTCCCTCCCTGAGGGGACAAACAGTAAGCAGATGATGGCAACATCAAAGAAGAGCTAGGAAACATCAGCTGCTTTCAGTGATGTCAGCTCCAAGTGTGTGCTGGAAGTCTGGAGGTGCTTGATCCCATGTATATGGATAAATCACATCAAAAATCAAGAATTGGGTTCAGTGCTTCAGCCAAGCATCCTGGGGTAGGGGCACAAGGGGCTGGGATTGCTCAGCTGAACCACCTGCACAGCACAACAGCAGGCACAGGTCACCCCTGAATGAATCCAGGGCAGCTGAAATCAAAAAGCTCAGCCTGGGGACCTGCCACCAAAACACTGAGGCTCCCTGAGCTGCTCAGAATAACTCTGATTCCACAGCATGAGGCAGCTTTTCCCTCTCGTTTTGTTCTGGGTTTTGTGTGGGTTTTCTACAAGAAAACACTGACCTCACTGCCTGAGGCTGTTTCTTCAGAGGCAGAATTGAAATCGGGAGTTTTATCCCACCCATGCACACACAGGATGACATATTCTGATTTAATCTGCTGTGTGCAGCACCATTGCAACAAGACCATCATTTCTAAACACTCCTCCAGCCTTGAGAAGCAGCAAGATAAATGATTCAGTGAATGGCAGCTGCTCCTGAATGAGACTCTGCAGGTAATTCCTTTTCTTCCCACGATCTTACAGCATCAGCAGCACAGAAAAATCCAAGGAAGGCCATTTGCAGTCTGAAGGTTTCACTTAAAAAGAGAGAAGACAAAGAAGAGCCTGGAGCAGAGGCTGTAATTCCTTTTTTCCCAAAAGAAGAGACCATCCTGCAGTCTGTGCTCGAGGGATAATCTGGAAATCCAACCAACTGACCTCAATTGTCACACTGTGCATGTGCTCCCTTTCAGAAGCACTTTCAGCCTGTGTGACTTCCAACAGCTCCCAGCTGAGCAACCACATCTTGATAAACCCATAAATCAGAGGGGTCTGCCCTACCAAAAATGAAGAGTCCTCTGACAGCCCCAGCTCACAAGGAGGGTGCAAAAAGCAGCATTTTTGCTCTCACTTGCACACTCGGATGCTGCAAAAAACCAGAATTTAGGTTGCTTATATTGGCACTTCCAACCTCAAAATTCAGAGGTTGTCTTGGGGTTAACCTGTAGTTGAAGGAAACCCAGCAGGTTTCCTACTCACATTTTGGAAACCTAATAAGTCTCCTACTCATATTTAATACTAAACCTAATTAAGCATTTTCACCTCCAGTGAAGGGCCAATGATCAGGATCAGCTTGGGTTTAACAGCAGCACTTGCTCCTTTTCACAAAATCTTTGGGGCTGCAAGGGAGCTCTGGAGATCATCCAGCTTTGATAGCCAAGAGAGTAAAATTCAGATATCTCTGCCATGAGCCTCTGCCTAATCTTCACATCATCTCCCACCTCTCAGGCTCCCAAAAGACAGGCAGCCCTGGGAGGAGCTGAGGAGCAGCTTTTTCAGTGTCTCACAAAAACCATCTGATGGGTATTAATGAGGCTTGAGGGCAGAGCTTTGTGTAGGGGATAAAAAACAAAGTACAGTGCAGAATTGAGATTTAATTCCCTTTTACCTCACAATGTGCTGAGTGCTGGGGGATAGGAACTTGAAGAAAAAGGCTGATTTTAAAGAATATTCCATATGAATGTGACTCAAGGAAGAAATTCCATGTGCTGCATTCCTAGGCAGAGCCCTTGGGTAAATGCAGTGATGGGAATTCAGTGGAAGGAGTGTCTCCAGACTGGAATAATCTGTATTTCCACTGGAAGCACATCCCAGTGCTGCTGGATCCCTTGTTGGGCCTTGAAGGGAGGTTTGAAATCAGGGCAATTTAATTTGTATTCAGGGTAATTTAAGGCTCCCAGTGTGCCAAACAGGCAGCCCTGGAGGGGGTCAAAGAACCAAAACCGAGGGCGACAAACAGGCAGAGCTGCAGGAAGGAGCCACACTGACCATGTCCCCCATGTGTGGCTGGAACTCAAACTTCATGGGGGGGCAGAAGACGTTGTTGTACATCTCCATCAGCCTCTGCTTGTCACTGTTGGCATCCAGGTTCTCCACAGCGTTCTCGATGGCATCCAGCCCCTCGTGCTTGGACTGCTCCAGGTTCAGCTCGGCCGACAGGAACGTCCTCAGCGCCCGGTTCAGGCTGGCGTGGTAGCCCAGGTCACAGCACTGCTGGAAAAACACACACAATTCCAGGTGAGTGAAGCTCCAGAAAGGGAATCTGAACCCTTCCAAGAGGCAGGAGTTGTGTAAATGGGGAATGAGTTGCGGGTTTTTTGTCCTCTGCTGGGTGGCAGGGAGGTGCCACGTCTCTCACTGTGTGCACAGAGCACCTCAGCCTGCAACCCCGTGGGAATTTTATCACCAGGTTGTAATTATATAGCTTAAATTATAAGCTATAATAGAAGCTTAAATTATTATAACAGTTTGTGGAGTTTTCTTGGGGATTTAGAGACTCATTTTTCATGGAGTACTAGAGACTCGTTTCATCCAAAAATGAAGTGGCAAGTTCAATAGCAGGGCAGTGGATTTCCTTAAATTCTAACCCGACTTTTAGGGGTCTTGTTCATATGAAAACACTCCAAAATCCTTAAATAAAATCATTCAAAGGAAGAGGAAAGCAAGGCAATGAAGTGCAACTGGAGAGACAAGACACAGGGTTTGGATCATCTATAAAGGCCAATCTGCACCCAAATAATTCCATAACTCCAGCAAACTGCTTCATCCCGTGTACTTTAGGGACGAGGAGCATGAGCTGGACATGAAAAGGGAGTCATCCAAAACCCAGCAGCCACCACTTGGGATGATTTCATTGCTGGGCTGAAACAGAGGAGCAAAAATCTTTGAAGCAAGAAGTGGTTATGGTCAAGAATTTCCTGGCTATGGCTGACACTGGGATGATGTCACTGGGAGACAATCAAGCAGCTTCATTTCCACCACGGCTGCAGAGCCAAGTTTTCATGTTTCAGAAGGGGGGGAAAAAAAGGAGCTTTTCATTACCATGAGATCAGAACCAGCCTGGAATTTTCAGCCATCTCATAAAGTGAGCAAGAAGGGAGCCCACCTTCTTGGAATTACAAGCAAGATCCCATCCACTAGGAGAATATCCAAAAAGGGAAGAAAGAGACCATCTGCTTGATTGCTGTGCTGCTCTGTAAGCAAAATTCACATGGAAACTCCTCCTCGCCCATCATTTGGGTCTCATCACTGTCATTGTTTGCAAACGCAGAGGGGAAAAAGGGGGGGAAAAAGGAGGAGGGGTCGGGGGGAGAGGGAAGAGAAACTGCTGGACCATTCCCTGCTCCCACAGAATTCCTGCCACCGAGTGCTGCAAGCCTGGCTCTTGTGCCAAACAAGCTGTGGCAGGTGTGAAGCCTTGGAAAAAGAGCTGCAGTTGCTGCTTGGGCTGCAGGCAGAGATTTAAGTGACTTTACATTCAATCAGAAAAGAGCAAAACCAGCCAAGCAAAAAAAAAACCAAAAAAACAAAACAACAAAACAAAACCAAAACCAACCCAAAAGCAAAACAAAAAGCAAAACAAAAGAGGCTTGATTGAGAATCTGCACGTGTGGAGGCACTCACAGCTCCTGCTCACTCTGCAGGAAAGATGGGATTGGGACAAGGATCAGGATCAGTTCAGATTGAACAGCTGAACTCCCTCCTTTTCACTGAATTTTTGGGGTTGCAGTTTTTGGGGTGATCTGAAGATCACCCAGGCCAAGGCAGGGTCACCTGGAGGTGGCACAGGGACAGGTCCAGGTGGGTTTGGGGTGTCTGCAGAGAGGGAAACTCCAGGAGCTCCCAGGGCAGCAGTTCCAGGGCTCTGCCACCCTCCTGGCCAGAAGCTCTTCCTGACGTTGAGGTGGCAGTTCTTGGGTTGTAGTTTATTACCCCTTGTCCTGTGGCTGAACAGAGCCTGGCACCATCCTGACATCCCTGGGGAGATTGGTGTGGGCTGATGGAGACTGGCATGGACTGATGGAGATTGGCATGGATTGATGGGAGATTGGCATGGATTGATGGGAGATTGGTATGAATTAATGGGAGATTGGTATGAATTAATGAGATATTTTATGGATTGATGGGAGATTGGCATGGACTGATGGGAGATTGGCATGGACTGATGGGATATTTTATGGATTGATGGGATATTTTATGGATTGATGGGATATTTTATGGATTGATGGGATATTTTATGGATTGATGAGACATTTTGTGGATTGATGGGACCCCCTCTCAGCCTTCCCCTCTCCAGCCTGAGCAGCCCCAGCCCTCCCAGTCTCTCCTCACCAGGGAGATGCTCCAGACCCCAAATAATCTTTGTGAGTTCTGCTGGACCCTCTCCAGCAGCTCCTGGTCATTCCCCAACTGCAGAGCCCAGCACTGGAGACAATTCCTGCTTTGGGACAGGCGCTTGTGCTGCCTCCCAGTGTGACCAGTTTGTCCTCCCAGTGTCCCCAGAAATGCACTGGGAGGACTGGGAATCCACAGGGGAGTTGATGTGTCACAGCCCACCTCGCTCAGGCAGAATTTGCTATTGAAGCCACTGACAGAAAACATTTCCCAGCCCACTCCCCCACTTTAAAGGGTTTTTTTTAAAGTCCAGTGTTCCATGTTTATAAATGCACCAGTCCTTGCCATCCCTTTTCTGGGTTGTATAAATGTTTGATGGAACCGTGCTCAAAGGAAATCAATTTTTTATAAGAATTTAATGATAACTCATTCAAATTCACTTCCCAACATGACAGCTGATTAACCCTTTGCCAGTTAGCTTTCAAACAGGCCTCAAAAGTGGAAGATTTAAGGGAAAGAGCTCTTTGTTTTAAAATGCAATTCACACATGGAAGGGGAAGGATGAGATCCTGAGTAAGCAGCCATGGAACACCTACTCCTGGAGGAGCAAAGCAGGCTCTGAGACTCACACACACTTTTTATCTTTTTTTTTTTTTTTTTCTTTTTTCCAATCCTGTCCCAGTGACCCTTTTATAAATATGAGTTAATGCAAACTTCCCCATTACTGTAATATTTCATTAGCATCAAAGAGCTGTCTGAGTCCCCAAAGTCAGGAAATTCAAAACTACTGAGCTATGGCAGAAACAATTTATTGCTCTTAACTCTCAACAAAGAATTAACTCCCTGTTATCCTTCCCTGCACACTGCAGAGGGAACAATGTGCTGGATAAACATGACATTAAACATAAACTTTAATGCTGTCTGGCCTAACACAATCTCCTTGTAAGTAACTTTGAAGATTACTTTTATATTATATTTCAAAATTCAATATCACCAAATGACTAGATCGAGGGAAGGCATTACAGCCTGGCTTAAAAATCACATTTTTATTCAAGTCAGATGGCTCAGATAACCATCACTGGTTATAATTGTTAAATTTCAACCCTTCAGGATCAAAGGCATTAATAAATCTATTTTCCCTGTGTCTTAACAATGAGATAACTGAACTCCATCCTGTGCTCCCAGACGAGTCCCACATTTTTCCATGCCTGAGCACAGCGCAGATAACACTTTTATTTTGAAGATGATGGGAGCCTGAAGAGTTAAATTGAATGCTCCAAGGGCAGGGACTCACCCAGAGCCACCAGGGCTCCTCTCTAGGAACAGACAAATCCCTGGAATTCAGAATTTGGGTTCCTGCTCTGCCATGCCCCAGACACAGCTGAGACTGCCCAGGGAGAGCAGCCCTTCCTTCCCAGGCTGGGTAGCCCAGATTTGTCCTGTCCTGCTGAAAACACCTCAGCTCTGTGCTTACAAATTATTCTGGGCTTGTGAAACCCAAATGGACTCTTTGCTCCCTGTGATTAATTAAAATACACCAAAAACGGGCAACTGGGCCAGGCAGCATTTGGGGGAAGACTTGAGAGACAGGGCTTTAGGTGAAAAAAAATCAAAACAATTAAATCAAGCTGATGCTGGTGAAATTAACCCGAATTTTGTAGCTTTGATATAAATATATACAGAGTTCTAATTTGTTAAAAACCCAGGGCCACGCAATTAAGGCTGAGCAAATGTTAACCAAAACAGGGCTCCCAAAAAGGCAGCAGGGATAAACAAACCAGGCCTTGCAGAGCAGCAATCCTGCAAATCACAACATTTGGGAATAACAGCATTTTTCAAGCCCACTCTCAGTGACAGCCCTGACCTCCAAAGGACAGGTTTAAATCAACACCTGGCACAAGAGCACTCCATGCGAGTTTATCATCAGCTGAATAAATGTATCCTAAAGAGTGCTGGTTATTCTAATAGCTGGGTAATTAATAGAGATCTGAGTGCTCTTTATTGCCTGTGTCTAGAGACTCTTGTGCTCATCACTCCCTGCTCCTCCTCAGCAGCTCCCTCCAGGCTCTGCAGCTTCCAGCAGGGATGGCCTTGGGAGGGGACAGGATCCAGCAGAGCCACTGCCCCACCCTCAGCCTGGCCAGGCTGAAGGGGTGGCTCCATCCTTGGCAACAACCTCAGGGTTCCTGACTGGCTTTGCCAAGTTTCCAAAAGTCAGAATTTTGGGGTTTTTGATTTTTTTTTTTTTTTTTATGGTGCATTTTACCAAAAGCAGAATTGCTGCCCCCTGAACGGTGGGGAGACTCAAATATGGCCTGGTGGGCAGGGAAAGGATCTGAGGGAAGGGCTGGAGCTGTGTCAGGGAGGTTTGGGATGGAGATCAGGGAAAGGTTCTTCCCCCAAGAGGGTGCTGGGCACTGCCCAGGGAATGGGCACTGCTCCAAACCTTCCAGAGCTCCAGCAGTGCTTGGACAGCACCCTCAGGCACAGGCTGGGCTTTTGGGGTGCCTGGGCAGGGCCAGGAGCTGGACTGGATGTTCCCTGTGGGATCCAGCTCAGAATATTCCATAATTCAATGACTTTTCCAAAACCAGTTAAAAGCAGCTTTAGGAAACACCTCTGAACTCCCTCTCTCCCACCAAATTCCTTCGACTGTTTCTACAGTTAAAAATCTTTTTTTTCAAACACGCTGCCGAGTTAAAATCTTGTGGGTTTGCTTAAAACAGTCCAATGAAAATGTCATTGGCAGCAGTGTGACACTGAAGCTGAGTTTCACTTTAAGCAGCTCCTCCTTTTCCCTCCCAGTGAGAGAAAAACTGGTTTGTAACAGACGTGGCCACCTGAGACAAGCTCTTGTGACAGCTTCAGGACCAATGATCAGGCCACTGCCACCCCCGAGCTGCCCAGCCCAGCTGTGCAGAGGTTTCCAGCTGTGCAGAGGTTTCCAGCTGTGCAGAGGGAGGGAGCAGAGGGGTGTGGGAGGCTCCTGGCCCCAGCAGCAGCACTTACATCAATGAGATCAGACAGGTCATGGATGTAGTACTTGAACACCGAGGCATTGGTGGCTTCCAGGGCCAGCAGATACTCATTCCTTGCCTTAATCGCCTTCAGTCTGTTCTCTGTGTACTTTGCTTGGCGCTGAAAGACAACAAAAACCAGAATATAGCATCAAAAGAGGTGAGCAGCACTCTGAGTAACACCAGAGAACACTGGGCAAATCCTACTCTGCTCGCACAGATTTTGCCCCTTTGAATTCCAGTTTTGCCAGGACTCCAAGACTTGAAATGCAGATGAATTATTTAGATGTGTTTGAGCATTGCTACACAGGATTGAAAGGCTTGAGGCTGTGGGATGGGGAAGATTAAAGGAGGAATGAAGGGACAAGGGGCTTTAGGAAGTTATGGCCCAGCTCCAGCAGCAGAGGGTCTGAGGGTTGCTGCAGACATCCCATCTCTTCCAAGGCCTGAACTTGGTCCTTCCAGAGCCTAAATCCATCAAAAAATAACTCCTTCCCTTCCATGGGCTTGAACCTTAGAGCTGAACTGGAGTCACCAGTGAGGCCACTGGCTCTGCCCTCAAAGCCAGTCTGGGGCTGCTGGGCTCCCTGGAGCACAGGCCTGCTGCTCTGGAGAACAAAAATGATCACATGAACCACGAATTCCAGCAGGCAGCTGCTGCTTTCCCACTCTAACCTGGTTTCAGCTTTCTGGGCTGTACACATCCCATTTTTCTGCATACTCCATTTTTCTGCATACTCCATTTTTCTGCATACTCCATTTTTGTGCACATCCCATTTTTCTGCATATCCCATTTTTCTGCATACTCAATTTTTCTGCATACCCCATATTTGTGCATATCCCATTTTTGTGCGCATCCCATTTCTGTGTACATCCCATTTTTTGTGCATATCCAATTTTTGTGCAAATCCCACTTTTCTGCACATCCCATTTTTGTACACACCCCATTTTTGTGCACACTCCATTTTTGTGCACACCCCATTTCTGTGCACATCCCATTTTTGCACATATCTCATTTTCCTGTATATCCCTTTTTCCTGCATATCCCATTTTTGTGCCTATCTCAATTTTGTGCACACCCCATTTTTCTGCACATCCCATTCCCTGGGATAACACCAACTGCACCCTCCTTTCCTAGAGGAAACTGCTGCTGGCTTTCCCTTCCCTTCAGCTGCCTGTTAACAAAACCTTTCAATAAAAAGAGTGAGCTTGTCTCTGAGGAGGGACCCAGTGGCTCCTTGTGCACCCTGCCTGTACCTTCTCCTTCATCTTCTCGATTTTTTTGACCGAGCTCCTCCGGACGTGCTTCTCCTCAAACTTGACGTTGGAGGTGGAGTCGGGGGAACGTGGGGTCTGTTTGTCCTCCTGCTTCACTGACTTCCCAATCTGCTTCTCCTCCTGCTTCTCCGCCTCCTTCAGCTTGCTCTGGGCACTGATGCTGTCGGCGTTGTACATGTGGTAGGTTTTCATCACCTGCAGACAACAAAATCCAACACTCAGCGCCCCAGCTGCTGCTCTGGAATACCTGAACCAGAAAAAAAGAAGGGCTCAGGGGAGTTTGCCACGTCAGAAAAGCAGGGCAGGAGGTGCCTGAGCCAGTGTGGCTCTGAAAATGAGTCTGAAATCAGTGGGGGATTCTGCAGCTGCTGCTGGGTTTGATTTCGACGCGTGCCTTATTGCACAAGGCAGTAAAGGAGGCACAAAACCAAAGAAAAGCAGGCTGCAGACTAATGCAGCCTCCTTGACTGCTCAAAGGAAATGATATGGCAGGAAAATGAGAGCTTTTCATCAGCAGGTAAGGTTTGTGAAGGGAGCCCGAGCAGCTTTTCATCTGGGTGAATCAGAGCTTTGAACAGCACAGCATGGAAATCCAGTCCCAGCACAGGGGCTGCAAGAGCAACTCAGGTGCCATTTGTTCAAATCAAATTTGGGACATAAAAGTACTTCTGGGATCTCATGTCATCCAAAAAAATTAAAAATTATAAATTATAAACAAATTATAAAAGTATAAATTAAAAAAATTAATAAATTAATACACAAGTGTGGTTCTTGGCTTTAGGGAGACCTGGACCCCGTGCTGTATGGAGAACTTCTATTATAGCACATTTTTATTAGTAAATATAGATTTTTATTAGTAAATATAGATAATATAGATAAATTACAAGAATTACTATAGATTTTATTAGTAAATATCTATATAAATATAGATAGTAAATACAGATATATATTTATTAGTAAATATAGATACATTCACAAAAATCCATTTGTTTCACATGATATTAATGTCTAGATTTGTGTTAAGCAAACAGAACCGAAGGACATGAGATCTAAACTGGTTTTTCCATAAATGCAAAGCAATCTGAATCCCTCACCAAAACAAACAAGATACAACACTCACAGAGGGCAAAAAAAAAAAAAGAAAATACAATTGCATGAAGTCAACCATTCCAGCAGCAATAAAGGCTCCACTAGTGAATAATCTGATTTATTTCAGATGAAAACCCGTTTACAGCTATTTTGCAGCAGAACATAACACAATTTTACCTAAGTGGGCTGCGTGCTCCCCCTCTGCAGTGATCAGCAGAGGTCCCACATTCAAAGAGACTCTGGATTTAAACATGAAAGGGAATGTGGCTGCAGCCAGTGCTAAAGAACATCCTGAATAATTCACACACCCGCACTCCCGGCCCCTGCAGATGCTCAGACTGTGAAGCAGGCGTTTATAATTATAATAATGGATGCAAAGGAGTTGCCTTTCCTCTCCTGCTCACAGCAGAGCTGGCAGAGAGCAAAAGCAGAGGGAGAAATCCCAGTTTGGATGGGTTTTTCATGGTTCTGTGCCACGCTGGCAGCCACAGGCTCTGGTGTGGGGACACTGGTGACTGCTGAGGGCAAGATGGCACAAAAAAAATGACAGGGGCAACATTCTGCGTTTTATTTGTGTAGAGAAAGTAAAGATTTCACCATTTTGCCTAAAAGCAGGGATGCTGCCAATCCTCTGGATATGGAATTAGGGAATCATTGAGAAAGACCTCCAGGATTTAACCTTTGGTTAATCCCCACTTTGTCACCAGAGCCCTGAGGGCCACATCCAGCAAAACAAAATAGGTGGAATTATTTCTAAATTGCCACAAAATTTAAACACTGGTGGGGTGGCTTTAATTGCAGCAAAAAACCCCATCTTTTAGCACCATCAGAAGTGGCTTTTTGCAAAGGAAAAGCTTTTCTGGTGAAGGGACAATTTAGAGCTCTGCAGCAGGAGGAATGAATAGATTGCAAATTCCCAGCATTGCCATTAAAAATATCAATACCTTACATCACTTTGTTCAGCAAATTCTGGAAGCTCTTTCTTCCAGGGGTAGAGGAATTAGCAGAATTCACAATTTGGCTCCAAAAATGACCTGTCAGAACCTGGCACCCAGAAATGATCCCCAGTCCATGAAACTCCACTCCAGAGCCAGCTGAACTTGGATCAGAAATTGTTCCTAAAATCTGTTTCTACAAGCAGATTCATGACCTTCCTTAGGATCCCATCCATGACAGGACTCAAAAGTTGAACCAATTGTGCCCTCAAATAGAAAACCATTTCAGGAGTGCTGATTTGCCTGAATATTTGGCTTTGAGGCTCTAATTGTAACAAATTGCAATGAAACAATTCCCTATATACATTTTACTGATACAGGAAAATTCAGGGAACCACTTGAAACTCTGTAAAAACTGATTTTTACCCCCAATTTCACCACAGGGTCAACATGCCACAGCCTGAGAAACAACCCTGGGTCACCTTTTGGAAGGAGGAAGGCCAGAAAATGCAAATCTCAGTGTCATGACCCAACAAATCACTAAGGAAGGACAAAATAAAAGGCATTTTGAGCCACTGAACACCGAGTTCTGCTTTTAAAGAAGAGAGAACTTGCTCAGTAACAGCAACATTTTCATCAAGCAAGAGGTTTTTCCATTAATCTGTGTGAGGAGAAGAAAAATCCCCACGCAGCACATGAGCCCTTGGGGACACATCCCTCCTCCTCCTCCTCCTCCTCTTTGGTGTCTCCAGTGGATTTAGTGAGAAGCAAAAAGCACAGGTGGGGAAATCTCCTTCTAAAAGGGAAAACTTCCTTCTAAAAGGGAAAATATCCTTCTAACAGGGAAAACCTCCTTCTAAAAAGGAAAACCTCCTTTTAACAGGTTAAATCTCCCTCTAAAAGAGAAAATATCCTTCTAAAAAGGAAAACCTCCCTCTAAAAAGGAAAACCTGCCTCTAAAAGGGAAAACCTCCCTCTAAAAAGGAAAATCTCCCTCTAAAAAGGAAAACCTCCTTCTAAAAGGGAAAATCTCCCTCTAAAAAGGAAAACCTCCTTCTAAAAGGGAAAATCTCCCCCTAAAAGGAGCTGTTCTGCTGGGAGCTGAGGGACAAATAAACTCAGTGGATGCCTCTGAAGGCTCACACCACACAAACCCCAAGATCTGTGGCATATTTGGAAATAATTCTCCTATCTCTGGCTCTTTTTAAAGCCATCACTGCAGCAAAGCAACAAATGGTGAGATCTGGGGGGAGACAACACTTAGAGAGCTGAAACAACACGAGCACAGAGGAGAAAAAATGGGATTTATGGAGCTTTAGAGCAGGGATTGCAGCCTTTTCTCAGCCTGGGTGGGAGAAATGAAACACTTCTCCTTTCTGCCAAGAAATCAGTTTGATTTACCGTGTAGAGTTCATTCAAAACTTTCATCAAGTCCTCCTGGAGCTGCAGTCCCACTTCCTTGCTCTGCAACAGAACAGAGAAATGAAAGTTAATTGAGGAAGACGCTACAGAGGAAGTGAGCACGGGGCATCCACAAATAATTTAGGCCCAATTAAGCATCACTGGTAAATCCAATCAGTGCCCAGCCCAGAAGTGTTAATAAACTGAAATCTCAAATGGGCACAGTCAGGGAAAAGAACAATAAAAAAGAAAAGAAAAAAGAATTTAAAAAAAGCGGGGGAAAAAAAGGGAAAAAAG